GCTTTCGGCTCCCCGGCCCCTCTTTCCTTGCCGAGGTTAATCGGGAGGAACGTGCCGCGGTGGGTTCAATTAATAATTTATTTTCAGGCTTCCTCGGAGCCGTCTAGACAGCTTCCTGACTGAGAGGGGGCTGTAGGACCCAGGTGCTGGTTTGGCCGCTGCACCCCTAATGCAGTTACATTTGTACGAGTGCAAGGATGCAAATAAGGTTGTCTCGCACATCTGGTGGAAAACACAAAGCTCGTTGCTGTTTGTGCCCGAAGCAGCTCACCAGACTTAAAAATCTCCGAGACAGAAGGGATGGCGGAGAAGAAAAAAAATATCAATTAAGTGGAACTCTGTTGAACTGAAAGTAGGGGGATAATCTCCGGCCGAATTTACTGCCGAGACAATAGGGCCGGATTCTGGCACTTGGAAGGAAAGCTGCGGGAAGCAGGAGGAGCCCTGCCTGAGGGGCTGGGGCACTTGGCCCGTTTATGCCCTGGAGTTAAGGAATCTTCCCCGCCCCCTCCCACCTTTAGTTTTACTGTATTGCTCTGTCTGCTAGAGTAATACTTGATTTAACATAGTCAATGTCAGAATAGACTTTAATGACATTAGCGTCAAGTTACAAAGGCACTTTGTTATGTTTTCTTGCCTCAAAAAAGTGCTGAAGTGCCATAGTAAAAAGCATCACTTCGTAAGTTCTCGTGTTCCCTTATTCCTGATCTCACAGCCCCAGTTCAGCATTTGGGATGTCCCCGGTTACTTCTGAACTGTGAGGTGTTATTGAAGAAATCACGGGAAGATGCCGAGTATCCTCTTAATAACGTGGGGCTTGGCAGTTCTGAACCTTTTGCAGAATTGGACCTTCTATGAATCGATTTTGGTGGGAGAAGGAGCAAGTGGTGGCATGAAGTGGGGGCGGTGATGCTGGGGGAGAGGATCCTGGAGCTGGCAGGAGGGGACACCTTCACCGAGAACCCTGCTCTCACCGTGCTTCTTACTGCAGGAGTCTCTGGGGGCTCGTGGGGGGTGAAGCGCCAGGCTTGGGAGGAGCCGCTGAAGCTGAAACTGGTGAAATGGAAAGCCTGTGTGGGGCAGACCTGCTGGCTCTCACATTCTTGTCTGATAAGGCACAGCATTTGTCTCCATAAACCCGCTGCAGGAATGATGCCTGTGTAACTCTTGACAGCAACGAGTTGCTGGTGTGCCGGCGGTCCGTTGCTGCAGTGCCGTGAGCTGGACTCCCTCCTCTGCCCCCTCCGTTCTGCCAAACTGCGGGTTGGTTTGGGCAGGAACTCTCCCTTTTGGTTCAGTTGGCATCCTGCCTTGCAAAATTGGAAAGTGGCGGGTTTAGGGGCCAGGACAATGTGAAAATAGCATTGCTCATAGTAGTATTCATGATGGGGTTTTGTCCTCCTGGTGTAGAAACGTGTCTGGCTCATGTCTGGATCTCTCAAGCAGCATATGCCAGACTTGCACCCAACTGGTTTTTTTTATGGGCACACCTTGTAGTGTACAGACTGGCTTTATGTGCATAGCTTGGGGTTACAATCGAAGGTGAATATGCAAGGTTTAGGCAGGAACTTGACAAGCTGGATTCAGAGTAAAGTTAACCCTGTGCTGAAAGGGCTCAGGCACTAAATCACTGATGGCCCCTTGAGGTGTACTGAGCCTCCCTGGTGGTGTCCCTAATATGCAGAGAGCTTGAATCTTCAAGTTAGGGCCCAAAAGCCAATGTTCAACAAGTCGTTGAGGTGCAATTTGCACATGTATATTTGTACAGAAGCAATTTGGCAATTTTCTGTAGATGCTGCCTTTGGTTTTTACTTCTGATGGAGAATACATGTGCTCAAGAGATTTTCTGAAACTGCAATTTCAACAGAAAGCATACCTCACCTAAAAATAAAGTTTATGGAATTCCTGGCATATTTTCCATTCGGTAATTTGCATTAATTCATAAAGGTAAATACACTTATCATTTCCACAAAAAAAATACCTTTGATGACTCCTGCAGGCAAAATGACTGGAATGTGATATGGATGGAAAATGCTCTTATCTGCAGGAAACAACTATTACCCCACGGATAAAATCAGTAATGCTGATTGTTTTGTTGTTTCAGGAGGACAAAAAATGTTTCATATGTGACTCCGAGAATCCCTTCCATGAAACTCTCAATCCTGACAGTCACCGCATTGAAAACGTTGTCACCACCTTCGCTCCGAATCGCCTGAAGCTCTGGTGGCAGTCGGAAAATGGTACGAGCGTTTCCCTGGGAGCTGCTTTCCTTCCTTTTGTTTAAGGGTTCCCGTGGGTTTGCTGTTATCTCTGGCCTGGTGGTTACTGCCCTGTGAAGGCATCCTGCTGTTGGAGGAGGGCTGAGTAAAACTGGCTGCTTTTGTGTGCCCTGAGTGGTCCTTAATTCATAAGGAAGCCCCCTCAGCCCTCTGGGTGTGTTGGAAGGAGCCGCCCCACCACTCTGCAAGAGTCCTTTCCTAAAGAGTAAAGTTTCCCACAGTGGCTCCAGATCTCCCTCATGTTTGGGCAGCTTGAGTGGAGCAGCCTTCCAGGAGTAAATATCCAGGGGCGACGCTGCCAGGGAGGCTCATCAGGGTTTCCCCACTCCACGGGGCTGGGGCTGGAGGAGGGATGGGGAAGGAGGAGGTTTGGGGGCTGCCCCTCTGCCTGCAGACCTCATTGCCCTCTCCTACCCCTGGAGACCAAAGCCCGGGAGAACTCTTACCCTGCAAATTGCCTTCTGCCTCCTGGGCTCCCTGGATTCCTGTAACCATATGCCAAATGATAAAATGAATGCCAGAAACAAGTCAGCTAGTAAAAAAAAAAACTCAACACACAATGTAAACCATTGCATGTTAGTTTGGTGTTCTTTTTTTTTTTTTTTAAAATCCTTCCTCTGCTTTTTTTTTTACTTTTATGGTTATGCTTTTGGCATGCCTTCATACACAGAACAAGGCACTGAGGTTTCTCAAACAGCAATCCTACCCTGAAGCCTTAAAGCCATCTGGACAGAATGGGATTTCTGCAAATCCCTTCTGCCTTGGCAGTAGCTGTCTTAACTGTGTATGAAAATAAAATGGTAATATTTGTAGCATTTCTGCTGCCTAGTAAAGAGCAGTTTTCACTAAATCCTTTTTAACCATTTAGATCAGCTGTGCAAGACATTTGTCTCTAGCGACTCTCTTCTAGCATTCCAAATAATTCATGTTTTTTGCAACAGGCTTGGCAGCATTCACACAGAAAAGTTCTTAGCTCATAAGGTCATGAAAATGTCCTGCAACAATGAAAAACAAATGATTCTTTCTGTCCAATTCATGTTTTCTTCTATTCAGACATACAGCAGAAGGAACCATTGCTGCATGCTCTACATAATTTTACAGCTGGTCAAAAATTTGAGTCCTTTGTAGGTTTATTTTTTTTTTCTTACACTTTCTCCTCTGTAAATCTTGATTTTTTTTTTTACATTTTTAACTACAGTTTAATTAGTATCCAACTGTTTCGAGAGATCTTTTCACATGACAAAATAAAAATACTTGTAACTGTTTTTCTTCCTTTCTGTGTGGAGTCCTTGACTGTAGGTAGTCGTACAGCAGAGTTTGGAAAGCCTTTTGTCTCTCACCAGTTTCCTAGCCCTCATGACTGCAAAGCCAGGCTACAATAGTTGCTTTAGGGCTATTTCAAAACCAGATTGTAAAGGAACCGTTCCTGCGTCTGGAAGGACGGAAGAGCCCAGAGTGAGTGAGGAAGGGTGGGAAACAGCCTCCACCAGCCATTGGTGACATTTGGGGTGTCTCTGTGGCTGTGAGACAGGCTGCAGTGTGTGAGGACAGCCTGTAGTCACCACGCTCAGCGTCCCCGTTGTACCACCGCTGGGTGCTTTGTGCCGAGATCCAACCCAATGCAGTCCCCATCCTTACCCAACCTCTAGCGTTGCTCGCCAGTACGGCACTGCAGGCTTGCACTTTGGGTGTAACGTGTTGGTGCAGGTGATGCACGGCAATCCCATCTGCGATAAACATTTTGGCCTGGCCTCGGTGTCTCCCCCGTACCTCCTCAGTAATGCCCTCACCCCCATATCCCTTTTTGACAGCAGAGCCAAGTGGCAAAGAGTAGAGTCTCTGCACCACTGGAGAGAAGAGCTTTGGCAAAATTTAGACATAGAGGCTGGCGGGTGTCCTTGTTGGCTGCACGACTTCTTTTCTCTCCCCCTGCAGGTTTGGAGAACGTGACTGTTCAGCTGAACCTGGAGGCTGAGTTTCATTTCACTCATCTCATTATGACCTTCAAGGTAAGGAAGCCGCAGCCTTACCCTGAACCCTAAAACATGAGGAAATGAGATGTCTCGTATACTTTCACATCTATTTGCTATTTAGGATTTAGGCTTTGTCTGAGCTGTTTGCCCTGATTTTTTAGAGCTACCAACCATTAACTAAAAACACACAGAAAGCCTGAGTTGTGACCAGTGGTTTGAGTTGTGGTTGGACACCAGCAAGACTGCAGAAGGAGTCATACTGAAGCTGGAGTTTGTGTTGGTGTCTCTCTCTCTGGAGAATGTGTTCTAGAAGATTGTTAGATAAATCATATAGTAGCAAGGATTTTTCTTCTTAAAAAAAAATTGGCTGTTGTATCAGTTTGCATTTGGCAAGTGGAGAGATCTTCAGGAAGGAGGAACATCTGTACACAAAGTGTCTTTGTTTCTTTATAAACAGATGTCTTGGAATGGCAGATTATGTCCTGTACATCCTAAATCCCAAGGCAAACCGCAGTGGCAACCTTCAGCTGAGGTTTCAGGAGCTGCAGTTCCTGCAGGGCTAAATCTCTGCTGTTCGCATGTAGACAAATTAATCTCTTTATTTTTACCCATCAGCTTTCTAGGAGAGCTGGTTCTTCTTTCCTGTGGTGCTGACTTGAGTCACCCCTGCCTCAGGGTGATGGCAGAGGTGGAAGGTGGTCCATTCTGGTGGACCCTGACAGCAAGGGACCCCCGAGAGACCCGTGACCTGATGTGGGTGCTGCAGCCATCGTGCCTTGGTGCCACTGGCCTTGGTCTGCCATTAGGAGGGAGACTGTGGGTGAAAGACAGTTGTAATGATGATTTGTTGACTTTGCTTGTGCAGTAGATGCTTGAGCTGCCTTGCCTCTGGGTCGCTACATTTTTTTGTTGGGTGAGATACCAGTTTTAAAGTTGTGAGATATTTTCAGCCAGGAAGCAGACAGAAAATTTCTTCCAGCTATGACCAAAATGCTTTTGTGCTTGGCCTCTTTAGAATACATAGAACTAATGAAGAGACTGTTGGCATTTCTTGGTAGGTGCAAGCCAGTTGTTAATATCTACTTTTTGAAAGGCAAGGTATAGATTGAAATGTGAGATTTTTAGGACAGAGAGACTAAAAATACTTTTAAAATCTCACTAGCCAGCTGTTCTAAAGTTGAATATATGTAGATAAGAAGGATGGTGGTTTGTGTGAAGCAAATTCAGCCTGCTGGAGCCTTGTCAAAGCCAGCTGGAGGAGGGTCACTGGCAACTGGGGGAGTCAAATGCAGTCAGAGTGGATGAAGCTGAAGCTCTCAGTCTCCTTAGAAAAGAAAGTTTTTCTTGCTGCAGCCCAGAGGCTGGATGGCAGAGAACAGCAGGGACGCTGCAAGAGGTGGTGTGGTTGGACGGAGAGAGCTGGGCAAGCCCAGGGCTCTTCTGAGCGTCAGAGGTAACTGCTCGGCAAGAACTTCTGGGCATCAGAGCTCAAAGGGAAGCACTGGCAGTGGCCTCCTGGTCCCCAGGGCGGTGGAGGAGGCCCATTAGGTCCTTTGCAGAAGATTAAGCAAGGGGGTGCAGCAAGGGAGAAGGCTGTACTGCTTTCCACAAGCAATGGAAACAATCCCTTTGATTTGGAATCCAAAAAATTTATAAGTTTGCTTATTTATTGTGAGTGTGTTTATGTACTTGACCTCTGAGTGCTGTCTGTGGTTTGATGTGTGTTATTTCAAAGATCTGCCTCTAAGCAGAAAGTCAGATCAGCATACAAATACTTCCAAATATTGGAAATAGTCAATGCAGGGAGAGATTAAAATCCAGACATATGGATTGCTCACACTTAAAAGCACAAGGTGTAAATGGAAGTAATAATTAACTGAATAAAATCTCTTTTGGTTTTCTTACTATCAGACATTCCGCCCTGCTGCAATGTTGATAGAAAGATCATCTGATTTTGGAAACACATGGCAAGTATATAGGTATTTTGCATATGACTGTGAGAGTTCGTTTCCTGGGATTTCAACTGGACCCATGAAGAAAGTGGATGATATCATTTGTGATTCCCGATACTCCGACATTGAACCTTCAACCGAGGGAGAGGTCAGAGGGAGACGAGTTTTCAATGTTTATTGTCTAGACTTTTCCTATACAAATTCAGATTCTCTTAAAGTTGAATTGTTTGTTGTACCGTTTTTCCTTCAGGTAATATATCGTGTTTTAGATCCTGCTTTCCGAATTGAAGATCCATACAGTCCAAGGATTCAGAGTATGTATGCAGTTACCTTCCAGGCTCCTTTGAAGGCATTTCTGTGCTTATTTGCTCCCAAAAAAACAATAAGTCCCAAATAAAGTCATATATTAGCGCCAATAACAGTTTTAAAGTCATGTGAATACATTTGTGGAATGGCTTCTTTTCGTGAATCAGGCAGTGATGTGCTGGGATATAATGGTCAGCACTGTCACCTCAAGTGATTAACACTCATCGTTGTAGTTGGTCCTTTCCTTAATTGATCAGGGATTTATATTCATGAAAGTGGAGAGAAACCTTGGAACACAATTTTACAGCATTCAGAAAGCAAAGAAACGGAACTACAAAGGCAGCTAAAATCAAGGGGATCGTCTTCTGTTTTTTAGAACATCTGAGTCATGACTGTGGGATGGTTGCCCGTGGTACCACTGCATGGCTCGGCCATGCAGCTGTGGTCATGAAGCACAGATTGCTGTAGCGTTCGTGTATGGTCATGACCATTGAGGAATGCAAAGGTAGATCTCTTACTGAGTGTGGCTCAAAGAGAAACCTTGTGGGGCATTTGGCCTGAGTAGGGAATTGCAGTGCTTGGTCTTAAACTTGACCTTCAATTTAATATGCCTTCTGAGTTTCGGTTCATGTCCTGCGTAAAGCTAACTGGAGCAGAAGAAAATATCTGAAGTAGAAGAGTGTCTGTCAGTTGCTATATCAGTTGAATGGATTTTAGCAAACGAGCAGAGACTCTACTTTCATGGGCTTGAAGTCCTTTTTCAAGTCTAGTTTCAAGGCAGTAAGAAATTGCACAGGATTCACAATAGCAAAGTGAACATGTAGGTGGAATTGATTGCTGCTATATTGTCTTCTCATATTTTATCCCCTGAGAACTTCTCCATTGTATTTGGTCAGTGATGGTGTGTTTCTTCTTTCAGCAAAACGTAACTAATTGTATTTACTAGGAAAGTTGCACGTATAAGAAAGAATTAATCATGTCTTGTTTCCAACTAACATTTTCTCCCAAGGTTACATAACTCCTAAACTCAACTCTTAAACTTTGTCAGAAGTTCCTTAATATCAAGTCTTGCCCTATCTTACATTTTAAAGCCCCAAAGAACAAGTAACTAGTGTCTTTTCGATGGTGCTGTGTATGCCTCTAATGCTTGTGCCTGTGTATATATCCAATAAAATAGACTAATATTTTTAATTAAGCTTAAACTAACTGATACAGTGATCAACCTGTAGTAAAAGAATTTTTTTTTTAAATTTGGGAGTATGAAGTTATGTGGTGTGTAGTACGTAAGTGCTGAAATTAAATCCGATCTAATCTGCCCATAGGAAATGTGATTGGGAAGTCGCTCCTGGCTTCCTCCCATTCAATACAATATCTGGTAAATAATTGCAAAATGAGGTTTGTTGTGTTGTTTGGTTTTTTTTTCCATCCCCTGCAGACCTATTAAAGATCACAAATCTGAGAGTCAAATTCATCAAGCTCCATACGCTGGGAGATAATCTTTTGGACTCCAGGATGGAGATCAGAGAGAAGTACTACTATGCCATCTACGACATGGTTGTGCGTGGGAACTGTTTCTGCTACGGACATGCCAGCGAGTGTGCACCGGTGGATGGCTTTAATGAAGATGTGGAAGGAATGGTAAATATTGACGCCTTCCTGCTTAAAGCTGTTCCTGTCTGTGCCTCTTTTAAGTGATTTAAACACAAATTTAAAGATGACACTCTGACACCCCCCCCCTTCTTCACCTTTAATTTTCAAACAAGAAACTGTTAAAACTGTTAAAACTGTTCCTCCTCAGCAAACTGTCTGTCATTATTGGTGTTAGTCAAGCAGGAGAGCTCAGATTAGGTGAAAATTGGTGTAGCATTCCTTTTCTAATTATGTTAAAGAGCTGATGAAATTAAAAGGTAGGAGTGCCAAAAAGGGAGTGTAACTGTATGGGGCCAGAGATGGGTGTGTGGGTCGGGTTGGCTATCCTAATGAAGTGAATAGAGGCATCAAAGGATGAAATACTTTTGTGAATCAAATATGAACCATGTTTGTATCAGTTGTTATCAGCTGAGAAGTGGAGTCTGTAGCCCTGATTAACAGCAGGCTCTGAAGACAAATCCTGCTGCCTGTGTTACACGCTGCTGCACAAGTTCCATGTTGCTTCTGGGTCCTGTTTTTCCACATGATTTTTGCCTGACAAGCAGTAATAGCACTTGTGTTTATGAGTGAGTTATTAACTGGGAGAATATGTGGAAGCATACGGGGAGCTCATGTGAGTTGTCCCAGGGGCCACAGGATGCTGGTGAGCGGGTGTGCTCCGCTGCCCTGTGCTTTTGGCGAAATGTCACCACCCATGCAGCAGCAAGACTGGCTTTGCCTTTAAAATCATGGCTCCGGTGCTGGTATAGTCCTCATCATCTATGGCAGCATCTGTCACACAATCACTCTTGGTCTACTTAGTGCTTGTTCTGTACATGTTGAAGTCAAAGCCTGAGGTTGATTAATAAAACCCATCCAAACTGTCTGGTGTCTTCACTTTGAGAGGCAAGGTAGGGCTGGAAAGAAGGTGCTGGGCTGTAAAAGTGCTGGTATAACTAGTTGCATGTTAATAGCTAATTAACAGCTAACTTCTAGATCTGAGAGGCTTTTGTGATTATTGAGGTGGAACTGTATTCTCCTTGTTCGTGACTAAAAGCATTTATTCTGGCATCCGTTTTGGTAAGGAAAGAAGGACAAATTTGTACAAGGGCATTCTTCTTGGTGGATAAAGGACACTTCTGTGGCCCTTTATGTCTTCCTACATGGAGTTTTATGTATTAAGGTCTTAGAAAGTGCGGTACCATTGTGTACTAGCTAGATTTTACATTAATTGGAGCATGTTTGTTTTTTCCCATCCTGTTTTATAACCTAATACAATTAAATTATTCTTTTTTCCATCTTTTTTTTTTTTTAATGACAGGTCCATGGGCACTGCATGTGCAGGCATAATACCAAAGGATTAAACTGTGAACAGTGTTTGGATTTCTACCATGACTTACCCTGGCGACCTGCTGAAGGCCGCAATAGTAATGCATGCAAAAGTGAGTTAGAGTAAAACACACAGCTGGAGTCTGATGTGAGCCTTACATGCTGTTACTTGAGAGCCTGTGACAATATGTAAAGTCTCGCATGTTCTTTGGTTGACTTGGGTGTGCTGTTCCTGCAGACTTGCATCTCCCTTGGGGCCGGACTCTTACTTTGCTTTCTGTCTTTGACACAGAGTGCAACTGCAATGGTCACTCCAGCCAGTGCCACTTTGACATGGCTGTGTACATGACGACGGGGAATACCAGCGGGGGGGTGTGTGACGACTGCCAGCACAACACCATAGGGCGCAACTGTGAGCAGTGCAAGCCCTTCTATTTCCAGCATCCGGAGCGAGATCTGCGGGACCCCGATGTCTGTGAGCGTAAGTGCAACCCCACTCCTTGGGGGGGAAATCGTAGAGTCGTAGAATGCATTCGGCTGGAAGGGACCTTTAAAGGTCATCTAGTGCAACCCCCCTGCAGTGAGCAGGAACATCTTTAACTAGATCAGGTTGCTCAGAGCCTCATTAAGCCTGACCTTGAATGTGTCCAGGGATGGAGCCTCCACCACCTCCCTGGGCAACCCATTCCAGTGTTTCACCACTCTCATTGTAAAGAACTTCTTCCTGATATCTAGTCTAAATCTACCCTGCTCTAGTTTAAAACCATTGCCCCTCCTATGTCCTGTCGCCACACACGCTTGTGAACCGTCCCTCCCCAGCTTTCCTGTAGCCCCTTCAGGTACTGGAAGGCTGCTATAAGCTCTCCCTGGAGCCTTCTCTTCTCAATGACATCCCAACCATTGCCTCCCTCAGGGCTTTCACTGGAGAATTTAGGGTTTACTGGCCTTTTTGGGGGCAGTACTGTGCTCCTGAACAAAAGTCCTTGAGGGAAGATGGTTGTCTTGGAGGTCTTCAAATCTTGCTGGGTTTTGTTTTCTCTCTGAGAATCTGAAAATTTATCTGGTCATTATGTGTTGAGCCCATGCCATGTGTAATACTTGCAGGAGTGATACATTCTCTGTACACAGCAGCTCAGTTTAAATAATTCAGTGTGAGACTTGGCCTTTTCTCTTGCAGCAGTTAATAAAACATGCATGATGCTTTTTTCTTAGCTTGTGACTGTGACCCAGCTGGCTCCCAAAATGGTGGCATCTGCGATCGCTACACCGATTTCTCCACTGGCCTCATTGCTGGACAATGCCGTTGTAAATTATTTGTCGAAGGGGAACGTTGTGACCTCTGCAAAGAAGGTTTCTATGGTCTGAGTGCCGATGACCCAGTGGGTTGTCAGTGTGAGTAAAAACATATGTTCCTTTATGTGTGATCAAAAGCTCTTTGAGGAGCAGTTAAAGGCAGGAGAAGTTGGTTTGCGGGATGGTTTTTTTCCTTTGTTTCATGTTTTTGCTAAAGGAAAAACATTCTTGTAGATTTATTGTAGCTTGGAGTCCACCCACCCTTAAAACTCAGTTCCTCAGCTCATCCTTCTAGTGTATTCACTGGAAATAGGAGAATCCTCCTTATTTATTTTTAATTATAAGTCTTTAAGCCAGGGAAGACTTACTGGGATGGGTGGTGGGCAAAGTGGACAATTACTCTGTCCTGGGGAATTCAGGGGAAGCTTTAATGTAGATGTTTAAGGATACCATCTAAAATGTAACTCAAATCCTGTGTTTTGACCTGCCTATTTGTGTTTCCCAATGTAGCTTGTGCGTGTAATCCTCTGGGTACCCACCCTGGGGGGAATCCTTGTGATTCGGAGACAGGAAACTGCTATTGTAAGCGCCTGGTGACAGGAAAGCAGTGCAATCAGTGCCTGGTAAGTAGCTTACCATAAAATAAATTAGGAGATGCTGGTATGAGGGAGGCTGGTGTGCAGAAAGCGTGGAGCAAGGTGCCGCTGTTTCTGACTGCCTGCGAGCGGTGCCCAGTGTTCAGACCAGAGCAGGCACCTCAGATGTCAGGAGCTCTGAAACACACTGTTGTAGGGTACTGGAAGCCGCATCAAGGCAGACAAGAGCGTTAGGTTAATTCTCAGGACCGTACGGAGTGAGACATTAGGATACCTACAGTGGTTGCTCTGTGAAAATGAGGGATCTGGTGCAGTTCTGCTGGAGCCCTCGCTGAGGTGAAAGACAAGACGGTCAATGTTATAAAAAAAATTCTTTTCTACGCAGGCCATTATTTTAGGCAGGGATTATTTCATACACATACATTTCCACATGGTGTTTATGCATGCTGGAGTGTTATAGAAACACACTGTCAGATAACTGGATGTGTTTGTATAAACACTGACAGGCTGTCTAACAGTGAACTACATGGAAAGGCTAAACAAGTCTGTCTGTCCAACAAGTTGCAGAGTAGCAGCCCTGCAAGGGCAGTGCCCCACTCAAAGCCCCGTGCACGGCTCTCTGTTGCAGTGTGAAAGACTGGGCTGTGATTTTTGGGCTGTGGTTCTGGAGCCCAAACTGGTATAAGTGGTGCAAGAGTGTGGTCTCTGGGCTTGAGTCCTCCTGAATTTTGTTTTTAAAATAGATGGAAAGATATGGGTTTTTTTCTTGCACCCTGGAGATACAGTAGTTTTTTCTTTGGAAAAGACCTTTAAGATCATCAGTCCAACCGTTACGTAACTCTACCAGGCCCACTTCTAAACCATGTCCCTGAGCACCATATCTAGATGGCTTTTAAACACATGCCACTTCCCTGGGCAGCCTGTTCCAGTCTTTGATAACCTTTTCAGTGTAGTTTTTCCTAATGTCTCACGTAAACCTCCCCTGGTGTAACTTGAGGTCATTTCCTCTTGTCTTACCCATTGTAACTTGTGAGAAGAGACCAAAACCCACCTCTGTATAATCTCCTTTCAGGTAGTTGTAGAGAGTGACAAGATCTCACAAGGCGGAGAAGATGGGGAGGATATTTTATTGGTGGTTGTGGGAGTAGACCCACAACCAGGGAAGCAGTGTGGGGTAGCTTATGCTGAATATTTAAAAAAATGCCTTTGGGGTAGATAGGATTAAACTGGCATCAGGTTACAGCACTAGTGATGTTTCTTCCCTCAGCCTGAGCACTGGGGCCTGAGCAATGACATGGATGGATGTCGGCCGTGTGACTGTGACCCGGGAGGAGCGCTGAATAACAAGTGAGTCTTAGCCCAGTTACTTTCCTGTAATCATTCACCCCAGTGAGTGTCGCTTCATTTGCAACCGCAACATCCAGGGCTCAGTGTGCTCTGGATGAGGGTGTTCGGGAATGTATTTCTGCTCCAAATGCAGCAGGTCTTCATTGCAGCAAGGGGTGACGGAGGCACCCTTGTCTTTTCTGTGCTGAGCAGCCTCTGTGCCATCGATGCAAGTGAACACATAAAACTGTTTTTAGCGCTGCTCTACCTTCAGTCAGCTGGGGTAGGAGCCAGCCATTCATTAAGGTTTGTCTTGGCCATAACCAGGGATATGGTCTGTGTCAAAGTTTTCTGATGACAGGATCAAAGCAGGAATCAGATGGTAACAGGGGCCATCAGGCTGGTCATTGATTTGCTCCCAAATTGGCCCTTGGGCCAGTCTGTCTCTCTCTCCATCAGTGCTGGGGAAAGCTGCATAGTACTGCTGCTGCATGGGTTGGGATGTGAACCTGGGAGTGCCCATTGTGGAGGTAAAGATTTTTCAAAGAAAAGATTTTGAAGATGCCTCTATCAGTAAGAGCATGGAAAGTCCTGGCTTAACTGGTTGTTCAGAGAGGTGCCAAGTAGCCAGACTGCTCCTCTGACCAGCAGCACGTTCCTTTGCTCTTCCCCATCCTGCCCCGGCTTCCCTCCACAAACCCTTTGAAATGTCCTGCTCTTGTCTAAAGCCGCAGAGGTTTTCCAAGGGGGTGGACAAACTATTTCCCACTGGAGAATCCTTCAGGACCACACCAGGGGAGTTTGGGACTGGTCCTGATGTGACTCCTGTAGGTCATCACAGCCTGCAGACTCCCCATCTGCAGCAGGGATTGCTGTGGGAACATCCCATGGGCTGTCTCTCCCCCTCACTTCTGAGCAAATTATTACCCCTTGGCCGACAGTGGAGTGGCTCTTAGCGGTTATTTACTCCATGCTTGCTCCGTGTGCACAGATCGGTTGTGCCGCACAGCTCAGCATGGCTCCCCCAGCGCAGCCGTTTCCAGGGATTTGGGGTACAGCTCAATTGCTTTGCAGCCTGTTTCCTATGCTCCGAGCCCAGCGATTGCAAAACCACATGGGGAGGGGACGTGCGGCGTCCTGTCCTGGCGCGGGCAGGGAGCAGCTGTGCGTTCCTCTGGCCACCCACGGGACAGACACGAAGCCCAGCTCCAGCCCCCAGCTTCGCTCTCTAACGTCAGCAGGGATGGGGAGCTTCACCCTCCCCGGGGCTCCTCTCCTCAGGTGCTGAATTGCTGCCTCCTGGCTCCTGTTTGGGATGTGAGATGCAGCGCCTGGGGCACCCAGAGTTCGTCCCCTTGCCCTAACTCAGCCAGGGGAGTCATTGCCATCCCCGGAGGGGAAACTACGCAGCTCCCTTTCTGGGGCAGATGGGGCACTTCTGGCATCTCAAGGGGAATGTTTAAGTGAATCCCCACGATTTCAGAAATGATTTCAGCTAAAAATTGTTCTTAGAATGGGGGCTTGAGAAATACAGGGATTTTCCACAGAAACTGGAGGAGTTTGGCTTTAGAAGATGTTTCTAAGTTCTATTCCAATTTAAAGAGCATGTTTTGGCGGACTAAAAATCTTCCTATGAAAAAGTATGAGCAGGCATGTGCAAAAATACAGCCTGCCCAAGGGTTCCTCATGATGAAAGGTGGATACTCTGGGGTCAAAACACAGTTTAGTGATAGAGCCGCATCAAGAAAAGAAAATGGCTTGTTAAGAAGGAAGTGGAGCTGCTCCATGTCACCCTGGACAGACCTGCTGCATTCCACAGAGTGACGGTTCTGTCTGTTCCACATCTCTGGCTATGTATGTCCTACTTTTAAAAAGCCAGATGTGATTTTTCCTTGTGCATAGTTGCTGGTGGACGACCTCCCGGGATGTGTTTCACAGCATACGAGAGCAGCTCGGTGTCCTGGGGCACACAGGGTCATGCATGTTCTTGCTTTGCCTGAGCCTGCACAAGCAGATACACTGCTTGCATGGCCTGCAAGCCTGGAGCCAGGGGCTGCCCTTGGCTTGCAGGACAGACATACCTCCTGGCTACGTCTGTGGTAGCAAGTGAAGCTCTCCCAGGACTCTGTCTGGCCCCAGGGAGCCGCCTGCATCCATAGCATGAAATCCTCTTGCCATCCAAACAGAGGAAACCACAGGCAAACTACCTGCTGGCCTTTGCTAGCTCCCAGCCTGAGCCTAGGAGTTGTTTGGGAAGAAAATAGTTGGGTTGAGCCAAGATTGCACCCGGGACCACACTGCCCCTTAGCAGTGCAGATGGTCCAGCTGCAGAGCTGAAGAACATCTCGTGTCTGGACACAGCTGTGTCCAGAAGCACTTCTTCCCCTGTTTCCCTTAAAATGTCAAAGCAGAAGAGAGCTCTAGCACCATCTCAGTGTAACCAAAATGCGTTGTAATTTCATTGCTCTTCCCTTTTAGCTGCTCGAGTCAGTCTGGCCAGTGCGAATGCCGGCCCCACATGTTTGGACGTCAGTGCAGCCAGGTGGAGCCTGGCTATTACTTCATTTCACTCGATCATTACATCTACGAGGCAGAGGAAGCCAGCCTGGGTCTCGTGAGTAGCAGTTTTCATGGGCTGGTGTGCCTGGACAACTGTGGGAAAGTCGTTTCACCATTTGAGCGTTGGAAACATCTGTTGTATATCCTGAGTGTTTTGCAATTAAAGTGTGGAAAACACATAACTGAATTGTATCGGAAGACCGTCTTCAATCTTAGTATCGATAGATAATGAAGTCATTTTGCGGGGGCAATGTCATCCTTTTAAACCTGTTTCTTTGGTCATGACTGTACAGTTAGTTTCCTGTTAACATCCCTCTCTGTACCCCACTGCGTATGCACCCACTGCACCCACTTCCTTCCCCTCTTCTTCTCAAGAGCAGGTGGACACTGACACTGGCTCTTCTCTTTGCTGCCTCTGAAACTGGGAGGAAACAAAGCACGTGTTTAAGCACATTGTCATGGCTTTTAGAGTTCTGGTACATCAGTAACATTTCTTTTATTAAGACTAAAGCCATAGCTGATTGTGCAGGAAACTGTTTTTGGTAGTGAGGTTGCCTTTAGTTTGTTTTGCTCTTCTTCGTTTGTTTTGCTCTTTCCATTTGCCACCACACAGTCTTGTTTTTAATTCATTAATAGCATCTAGGTGATTCCATCAATTATTTTTGCCTCCAGCAAGGAATCAGAGAGGTGAGATAATGGTTTCTCTAAAGCAGGAGATCCTTGTCTGCCTGCAAATGGGGAACTTGGTCCTAATTTATCTGTTTCAGGCAAAGTGTGGCCACTTTTCAGCTTCAGCCAAGGAAGAGCACTCTTGCTCTTAGCTGCAGGGAGAGAAGACAGGGCAGAGAAGAAATTGGACCACAGTGGAGGGCATGTGAGCAGGCACAGGATTTTTGGTGTGTTTCTGTCTGCCCGACTGGAGAGGTGGTACTGAGGCTTGGAGGTGGAGGAGCCCATTATGAAAACCCTCCTCGTCAAGCAGAATGAGGGGATGTGCCACTGGTTTCCCTCCTGAAACCTTCCAAACAAACCATTTTAAAAAGCACCGATATTGAAAAGCTTTCTCACAAATCTGTTGGCAAACTAAAACTCTGTGAATTCCCAGACAGGGACCCAGCACAAGACAAAATGAAGTGGGACACCATTGCAGGGATTTTCAGGCATTGCCGAGCCCCCATGCTCCCCACAGCTGCACACTCTTGCTCCTATCCTGCCTTCCATCCTTTCTGGGCAACTCCAACCCTTTGTGCAAAGCCAAAGGGTAACAACATATAGCCAGATTCTCTTCAAAGAGTGTGAGAATACTTGAGGGGACATCCTGAAGTGATGTGTATATATATGTAGGCATTTCCTTACATTTTATCCCTTTCTACTGAAGTAGCTTCCTTAGGAATGCACAGGATGTTGTTCTATGGAGAGAACTATTTGTGGATACAGATATATTTGAAATGGGAAGTTTGAACACTGCATGTTTCCATTTTCTGTTGCCTTTTCCTCTTCTTTGTTGTATATGGCACCTCAGTCTGAAAGGAGTGACCACATGTTGATTTAGCTGTTAAATATCTATTGATGATTACGATCTCTGTTATTTAGTGATAAACCTGCTCATGACAGCCATGATGTGCTTTTCAAATGCTGTCCTGAGCAGTGGTTTGGTTTGGACCAGCCTGGTGTAATCAGGAAGCAATTAGCACTCAACTTTGGCAGTTAAGAGAGTAGTAAATCCTACTGCTACGAACGTGATGCAAAACTCCTTACGGTGAACATCATGTCGTAGCTGGCAGATTAGTTACTCACAGCGAGTTTTTTAATGTCATTCTTCACCATAACAGAGAAATGGATGAAGAGTTGTGCAGTGTTGTTTTATTTCATCTTTCTTGCTTTTTTTATATTATTAAGTGGAAGAGCAACAGTGTGCATGTGTGTGAATTCGTGTTCTCTGGGATGTAATCAATGAATGCTGCGATCCAGAAGTGATCAGTCAGCAGACCTCACCACTTCACTCAGTGCCAAGGGGCTTGTAAATTTAGTGTATCGGTATTAAAATCTCTATTCTCTGTTTTTGTAGGGAGTAAACATAATAGAGCGCCAGTACACACCGGACCGCACACCGTCGTGGACAGGTATAGGATTCGTACGGGTCCCTGAGGGAGCGTACCTGGAATTCTATATCGACAACATTCCCTACTCCATGGAGTATGATATTTTGGTCCGCTATGAGCCACAGGTAGGTCTGTGGGTATGGGCATTGCTGCCTCACAGCAGGTGCTGACTGTCCCAGTACTCAACTGACAGGACCCCAGTGCTTCCCAGAGTCACCAGGACTCAAAGGCAGGGATGGAAGCTCAGTTAAATACCTGAGGTGTGTGAAAATCCAGTAAGATGTTGACTAATTCTAGCATTATTTGCTTCACAGTTTCTTTCGTTATTGTATTGTTTCTGCACCTATTTAATCAGCAAATTAAAAAGTGACAAGTCCTGTCAGGACAGATTAGAATATGAATTTGGCATCAGCCAGACAGGCTCTAATCGGTGGAAATGCTCTTATGTGCCTTAAAGAGGCAAATTATCTGTCTTGGATGTTAAATGCCTGCAGCCAAGAGTTTGCAAGCCAATGGTTTTGGCTGTGAATAATTCGTAGGGTGAAGGGAAAGAAAAAAGTCCTCCCAGCTCCTTGCCTAAAGCTTGGCAGCAACTGACTGCTGTAAAACACTCAGGTGCAGTACCCAGAGATGGGGTAAGAAGCAGTCTCTAAACCACCCGCTGATGCCGTGCCACAGATGACCACCTACACCTAGTCATGTTTTTTGAGGAGAGGTGGAGAGAGGCTGTGCTGGAGGCTGCCCAGGGGCATGTACTTTGCCTTGTCTCAGCCCAAACCTGCAGCCGGTAGATGTCCCATTGATGCTGGAGCTGCAGCCCTATCCTCCCTGAGGCACAGTGAGCACCCGATCTGTGTGCTCTCTTTTCCTGGTCAGAGCTCTGGATCCTCCCGGGGACTTATGGCTGCTGCTTGATGCTGATCAGCCTTTTTTTCCTCCCAGTTGCCGGATCAGTGGGAAAAAGCTGTGATCAGCGTCTCGCGCCCAGGGAAGATTCCCACGGGTAGCCGGTGTGGCAATACTGTTCCCGATGATGATAATCAGGTCGTCTCGCTGTCACCCGGCTCCAGGTCAGTATAACGGGATGGGGCAAAAGGAGAAAAAACAATTAGAAAAAGGAGAGAGACTAACGTCATGGTTTCAGTTTGGCCTCTATGGAAATGGATGAAATTTAATTTCTGATGAGTTATAAAAGCGTATTTAGTATTGCGTCTGTAGACTCAAAGCTTTGAAGTTTATTCTCATATTTTGATTCATTCTGTTCACTGAGTAAAGAGGGAGAGAAGTGTTTGCACAGCCTGTGAGCGAACATCGGTAAGACTCTTCTCCTTGCTGATAAGCTTTTCCGGATCTGACTTGCACAAGCCTGCAAAGCAGCTTTTTCACATTGTAGCTTTTGTTCTGCTCGGTCTTGGCTGCTTTCCGTTATCTCGATTGCTTTATAGGGCCACCTGAAACACTTTATGGTGCTGGACATTTGAAGTAAGAGTTATTTCCTGTTCCTAATCCAGATATGTAGTTCTCCCACGGCCCGTCTGCTTCGAGAAGGGGCTGAATTACACGATCCGCCTGGAGCTGTCCCAGTACTCCTCGGTGGATACAGAGACGGAGAACCCATACACTCTCATTGACTCTGTGAGCAGATGTTGTTTTGGGGATGCTCAGGGGAAAAGTGTATTTAAAAGCCTGAAAGTTTGCATCTACTCTGGCATGCATGCATGCAATGAAATTGCTCATGTTTGAAGCCAGATTTTAACTGAACAATATAGAGCACTGCAGGTTTCTTCAGTCTCAAAGTATGTGGGTTGTTTTTCTGCTAATAGGCTTTTGCTGTATTTTACAGGACAGCTGCTAGTTCCACAGACCTGTAGTTTCTCTGAGGAGGCTGATGTGTGCCATGTATGTCATGAATGTCAGTGTCAGCCTTTTTCTTTTGGATGGGTAGAATTTGGTAGATTTGGTAAGAATTTGGTAGATATCAGAACTGTTCTACCAAAACCTAGAGAAATGCTGTCCTTTCCCTTCCAAATTCTGTCTGCCTGTTTGGTTCTTTTGCGAAAAAAGGATGATAGGAAGCAGTATAGTACTGAATTTCCACCATTTTGGTGGAGGCTATTTATGAATAGTAACACTTTGTCGTTGTAAAATTGTTTTGTAGCTTGTTCTCATGCCATACTGCAAATCGCTGGACATATTCACAGTGGGAGGCTCAGGTGAAGATGTGGTCACAAACAGCGCCTGGGAAACTTTTCAAAGATACCGGTGCCTGGAAAACAGCAGAAGCGTTGTGAAAACTCCCATGACAGACGTCTGCAGGAACATCATATTCAGCATTTCTGCGCTATTGCATGAGACTGCGCTGTGTACGTAACCATGTACTTTTGTAGGGCAAATAGTGCCTGAAAACTGGATAGCGCTTGCAGGCAGAGTGGTTTGCACGGGAAAGACATGTGCGTGGGATGAGCAGGTGGTTTGTGTCCTGCGCCATGGTACTCCCTCCCTGACAATGCTTTTCTCTGCTCAGCGTGCCAGTGTGACCCCCAGGGCTCCCTGAGTTCGGTGTGTGACCCCAACGGAGGACAGTGCCAGTGTCGTCCCAACGTTGTTGGAAGACAGTGCAACAGATGCGCCCCTGGCACCTTTGGGTTTGGGCCGAGCGGATGCCGACGTACGTAAACCGTTGGCTCTGGGCTGGAATGTGGTCGGGGCCCTCCATTTAGGGCTCGCCATGGAAACACAGCCCCTCTCCTCTTCTTGCAGCGTGCGAGTGCCACATCCGAGGCTCTTACAACACCTTCTGCGACGCGGAGACAGGCCAGTGCCACTGCTTCCCCGGGGGGTACGGGCGGCAGTGCGACCGCTGCCTGCCTGGCTTTTGGGGCTTCCCCAGCTGCCAGCCCTGCCACTGCAATGGCCATGCCGATGACTGCAGCCCCTACACCGGCGAGTGCCTGAGCTGCCGGGACCACACGGCAGGGCACAACTGTGAGAGGTACAGCGTGTGCACCCCCTCCCCAGCCCCACTCCGTCCACACAGCAGGATGGGCACAGTGCCTGTTCCCCTCTGGCACTGGCACTCAGGCAGGTGTGGAGCCGCAGGGAAAGTCCCTGAATCCTGGGAGCCAGAGCGGTGCTGG